ACCATCTAAACTATAGGCAGTGGGGATTCAAGCAACTTATTGGGGGTTTTAACATCAATGCAGATTAATAATTACCCATGTACCTTAAAAAAAAAAAAAAAAAAAAAAACCAGAAGTGTAATCATCTGGGTACCACTGCAAACTTATGAAATCAGGATCCCTGGGGTTCAGCCATAGGCATATGTTCAGTGAAGGAGATCCACAGGCGATTCTGACATAGACCACTATTATAGAGCCTTTAGAGCCAAGATCACCATGAGTGGTCAAAATAAAGACATAGGATTTGTTGAGTGTCTGTCTACACATGCCAGGTCATTTAGAGGTATGATTTAATTTAATCCTAACTATAACCCTATGAGAGAAAAAACATTATTCTCTTTTTAGAGATAAGGAAACTGATACTCAGAGATATCACAAATGTAATTAAGTCATAGACCTGGGATTCAAGCCCACACAGTTTCCAGGACCATGGCATTCCTGTGGTATCAAACACCCTCCCTACAATTGCACCCAGGTGCATTTTTCCCTTCAATTTTACTGTAGCTCATATTAAGGAAAGTAGCAAATGTGGCATCATAAAAACTATTTCCTCTCAGTCTCTTTTCTCTCCTCCAGTGACTTCTAAATTTTACCTTCCCTTTTGGTTTTCTGTTGTTTTGTTTTCACCTTGAAATGAACTCTGGTGGTGCAGTGGTTAAGGCATTTGACTGCTAACCAAAATGGTGGTGGTTGAAACCCACCAGCTGCTCCATGGAAGAAAGATGAAGCAGTCTGCTTCTGCAAAGGTTTACAGCCTTGGAAACCAAATGGGGATCGCTGTGAGTCTGAATCAACTAGATGGCTATGAGTTTGGTTTGTTTTTTATTCTTCACCTTGAATTGGAGCCAAACCGTCTGAGGGCTATAATTTTGAACTAAGTTTATTTTTTAAAGAAGCTCACTTAACTCTCTCATAACTTTTTCTCTCTTTCCCTCATGCTTTACTCTCTAACTTCTCCTCATCCAACCACTTATAGCTTTGAAACTCCTCATTCTAAGCAGAGCACAAGATGAAACCTGAAATATTAATTACTTTCATCATTTCCTTTTTACCCTCAGTCAGATATGGTGGCAGTAGGGAGGGTTTTGCCTCTACTCTCCCACAGTAGCAAAGGGAAATGAATTGATCTTCTGTTCAGTTTTCTCTAATGACTACTAGCAAATGCTACTGAGAAAGTGTTCATTAGTTTAATGTAAATAACTTCTTCATTTTGCTTTTGAAATCCACCCTCTGATGGTAGAATTTTAGTCACTGTGTGTGTGTATGTGTTAATATCTCTCCTTAAATCAGTACTGTGTTCTCCCCCATGTGTAAGATCTTAACCTTACAGTTTATGCAGTCCTCCTTCTATGCTTTTTTTCCTCCCAATAGGATGTTAAGATTTTTCAGATTAAATGTTTTATTTTTCCAATGTACTGTCACTCACATTATACTACAAGACATTTTCCTCATTTAAATATACGTTCTTAATTTTTCTAAAATGTTACCTGAGCTCTATTTTTATTTTTCCCCCTATTTTTATTTTTCCCTATGACAGTGTAATAGTTAAGATTGTGTATTAACTTGGTTGGGCCTTGACTTTGAGTAGCTTGGAAGCTGTATGCAATTATTTCTCCATGATGACATTGGATGTGGTATAATGAACTCCATGGTGGAATCTACCGTGAACAGCTAAGTAGACACCTTCAGGATGTGGCCTGCTTCCAGTATATAAGGAAAAGGTTTGAGAAAGGTCTTTAGCTTTTTGGCACATCTGAATCCTGAATTTGGCCGAGTCTTAATCTCAGTGGCCTGCAGTGTTGTCTGCCAATCTTGGGATGATTCCTGGACTTGAACTAGTGGCTTGCCATGTTGCCTCCTGATCTAGAGATTGTGCCATTTTGTCTTCTGACCTTAGGTTTGTCAGCCTCACCAGCCAGCAGCTGCCTGAGTTATAAGGCTCCAGCCCCAGTGGGTCTGGCATAAGAGGCAGAGCTGAAGCTCAAGGTCAAGGGGCCTTCACAACCCCTAGAGCCGACACTCTGAATTTGGACTTCTAGCCTCCTAAACTGTAAGAGAATAGATTCCTGTTTGTTAAAGGCATCTACTTGGGGCAATCTACTTCCATAGTGATACTGCCTCAGAAACCCAAGGAGGGGTCGCTATGAGTTGGGTCCGACTCAACAGCACATAACAACAACAACGACAACTTATGTTATCTCTGTTATAGCAGCACTGGAAGACCAAGACAAATAGACTGATTTTGTTATAAAAACTCATAAAGTCATGAGGGTGATTTGAAAGATGAGGTTATGTTATTCTGAGTTAAGGGAAAGTGAGTTGCAGAAAAGGTGAGTCATTAATGGGCGGCAAAAAAAAAAAAAAAATCAGTCATCATATCCAAAAGACATTAAAAACAGTCATGTTTATTTCAAAACATAAGGTTGACTCCATATTAATAAATACTTTTAACAATGAATGTAGGAAAATACTGTGGATGTTATAAGAAGACAATTTACTAAAGAATCAGAAAAATATATATATAGTCCTATATCTGTAGCCTATTGATAAGACAATCTGGGAGTAAGTAGGAATAGCCTCAGGAATGTTGTGTAGAATTAGGAGAGCGAAAGAGAGGATTCTACAAAATCAGGAGGAATTTTCTCCTTGGATGCTTCAAATGGTTAAGCATTCATCTACTAACCAAAAAGTTGGAAGTTCAAATCTACTCAGAGGTGCTCGAAAGAAAGGCCGACAATCTTCTTCTAAAATATCACAGCCTTAAAAACCCTATGGAGCATAGTGCTACCCTGACATACACATGGTCACCATGAGTTGAAGCTGATTCTCTGGCAATTGCTTTGCCTGTTATTCCTCACTGTGGTCTTAACATCTAAAATCTAGAGTTGAATACTACACCTTCTTACATATAACTGGTTCTGTGGGTGCCATCTTCCTCAGATTTGGAGAAGTACTAGTTACTACTAGTTAGTAGACAAGGTAAAAAATTGGAAACAAGTCCTGAATTTGAATCTAGGTCAGATAACTGTGGCTGACAATTGGGCCACAGGGCCCCTCCAAGCCAAGAAGGAGCTGCTACAGCTCAGCTTGTGCTTAAAAGCTTAAAAGCTCACAATATCATTAACTAGAGAGGTGAAGGTGCTCCACAGGCTGAAAGCCACCAATGTGAGCTCTGTCTAGTTTAGAGTCCTTTCAGTACTATGTTTGTATAAACCCATTATCCAGTTAACAGGGGACAAATTAGCCAGCCAGCTGCCTAGGACCCTCACTTGTGGAGAGAAACTTGCTGCCTAAGTTTTCCCTAAACACTCAAATGAAACAGGATGTCACAGACTTGAGGTCTGTGGTATAGTAAATTACAGTATGGCTTTTCTAGCCATAAGTCTTTGTAAACTCTTTGGTGGGATTTGCTATAAGCAACTGAGTAGCTCCTGATTGTTAAAGTTATCCACCTGGGGTATTTCTGTTGGGAGCAGCACAAATTCATTTTCTGGGAAGTTCTCTCTCTCTTTCTCTTTCTCTCTCTCTCTCTCTCTCTCTCTCTCTTTCTTTCTCTCTCAGTTATGTAGAATTCTGATGTTGGGATTGGTTAGTTTGGCCACTCTGCCAAGCTCAAAAGGAGCCCTCCTAGAGACAGAAGGAGTCTCTCTGACTGCTGGTTGAGAAAGACGTGCCACTGAGAGAAACACAATCCCGAGACATGCACTTGCTGAGAGAGAGATGAGAGAGATATGCACTGCTGAGAGAGCGACTGCTGGCTGCTAAGTGAGATGGCTGACTGCAAGAGACTGAGTGCATTTCTGAACTTGAATTGTAGCCTGTTGCTTCCCTAATAAACCCTATAAACTGTGAGTTCAGTGTGGCCACTGCAGCAAATTATTGAACCCAGCAGAGAGGTGGTGGGTGCTGTGGGAGGAACGGTTGGTGTCAGGGTTGGTGAAAGGGCTGGAGGGAGGCAGCATGTCTGACCTCTCAGGGATAGTCCTTGGGTTACTGATGGTGATTCTGTCTTCCTCTTGAGAGGTTAGAGGAGGTCAGAAGATGCGGCCTCCCTGCCTCTTTGGCAAGGTCTCTTCTCTTAATGGTAATAAATAGCAGAAAAATGCTTCCAAAAGGGAAAAAGAGAGCTCCCTCTCAGATCAGCCTCAGTGCAGTGGAATATGCAGTGTCCTCTCTGGCTTCCTTGGGGCTTTTTCTCAGAAAAGAGGATTTTTCTTTCTGTAGTAGTGACAAAAAGCTTAAGCCTAAAAACCATCACATCAGCACGGGCTCTTGGGAAATTTCTGGATAGAATGAGGAGGGAAGAAGAGAGCTCTCCTTCATTTTGTTAATTGATCTTGTGGCTAAAGAAAACAAAAGAGGCTTATGCCTAATACTCTTGGCACAGATTCATAACATTGTTTTAAAGGGAATAGACCCTCTTGAAAACTCTGAACTGGTCTGTATCAAAGGTTAAATTAGAATCTCTGCTAAAAAATCAAGAGGCAGTAAACTAGCCAATACTGTGACGAGACTGAAAATGTGTTCTGGCACATTTAAAGGAGATTGAAGGCCAAAACTTAGCCCAGGAAGGATACTAGCAGAACAACTGGAGGCACTTTAACCTCCATGAGTATTAGAATCACAGGAGGTTTTGGTTATTAAGTAGGAAGGACTTCAGAGACCTCCTAGTTCAATTGTGTTTTTCAGAAGCTGTTCCTGAGACCCAAAGTGGGTGAACAGACCACACAGCCTGCTATATCTGCTTAAGACACACAGGGAAGGGCAAAGAGGTTTCAGTGAACAATGCTGTGCAGGTGAACATCAAGCATTAGGTTAATTACATTCAGAATACCCCACAGAAAACAACTTCCCATTCCTAGGCCCTTTCTTGTTGATTTGTCACAGAAGTGGACAGCTGCTGGGCTGAGCCTATCTGTGGGGCTTCCCCAGGAGGGTGGGGAGAAGCTGCAGGCATCCCCTCACTTCCCAGTCCTGGAGACTGCCTGGATGGCTTTGATCCACTCTGTGCGCTCCTTGGGGGTGGCCGCTTGCAAGAAATAGTGCACCTCATCAGCCGTGATGATCTCAAAAAGATTCTCTTCATCACTCTTCTTGCCTGGTGAGAGAGAAAGAGAATGATAGTGCCCAGGGATGCCAGAGAGGCCACCAGGTCCACCCTCCCTCTGTAAGTAACAAAATCCTGGTTTTTTGAGTGCTCTAAGAAAATTAAATATGTGCTTTTCAAGAGCACAAACTATATGATTTGATTTATATAAAGAACAAAACCAAGAGAAACTACTTGATGCTGCTAAATGTCAGGAGGTGGGATAGTGACTAGAGGAGAGCAGAAAGGAGGCATTTCAGTGTTGGACATATTCCATTCTTGATCTTCTAGGCCTGGTTAGATGATGCATTCACTAACGAACATTCATGACGATGTACTACTATTTTCTGCATGGATACTATACTTTGATAAAAAGAAAACGAATGTAATAGGAAAATAGTTACATGGTTTTTAAATGTGCCAATATTGTATAATCATATCTATTGTATGATTATAATATACTGTATATAATATTTATATAAAAAGCTAATATGATCATGTGTAGATAGTTTCAAGAAATCATGTAAAACCCTGAAGGAGAAACATTTTCTTTTCATGGTTTATAAGCAAACAAAATTTCTCACCTTTGCACACCAGTGATGTTTAAGAAAGTAACTCCCTTCATTCTCTGCTAATCTAAATCAAGAGGTAACCCTAATATACTGGGGGACGGGAGCCCCAGACCCACCACTACTACCACCAGTGTAGCGTGAAAACTGGTTTTTATCAAAGGCTAAGTTAGAGTCTCTGCTGAAATATAAAAGGCAATAAGCTAGCCAATTCTGTGAGACAAGCCTTAAACATTGGTTTCAAATTAAAAAGCAATATGCTCCCTTTCCCAAAACTAAAACATAATCAATCCGTGGGGAAGGGGTGTGGGCAGAGTCAGGGGTAGTTAGATTCCAGGCTTTTTGCAGCTACAGTGTTTACCTGTGAACCTATAGAACACCACACCCAAAATAGTATGATAAAATAGAACACCACACCCAAAATAGCATGATAAAATCAAGGTTTGGGATATTTAAACCACATCTTCCCAGTGACATCACTAATCACCAGCACTTGAAAAGTCAGTCTACATAAGCATGGTTATGCCCTGCACCAAATCATTGACTTATCCTCTAGAAGGGACTTCAAGGTCCTCTAGTACAACCCACTTGTTTCTAGAGGAGGAATGAAGTCCCAAAGGAGTCAGGTGATTTGTCCAATACCATATAGCTAACTTACTAGCACGCATCCAACTCTAACCCAGCTGCAATTTCCACTCACCAAACTGCACAAATGTTCCTTTTGTCTTGGGATATTTCCTGTCCTACGTATATAAAAGACTCCCTTTACAGAATGTAACTGCTCAATTATAGAAATCAGGAGATAATATTTAAACCAGTTGTGAGATGATAAGATTTTCTCAGCACTGCTCAAGGATTTACTCAAGACATCCACAAAGTCACTCCAACTCCCCAAGGCCCAGAGAACCAGGAGTTGGGAAAGAATAACTCTTGGTATCTCCAAGGTTCACAGACCGTAGACGTGTTCACACTGATGTCTGATTGAGTGCTATTGGTTTAGGAAGGAGCTCTGGTGGCATAGAGCCTAAGGCATTTGACTGCTAACCAGAAGGTTGATCCTTCAAATCCACCAGCCACTCTGTGGAAGGAAGACTGGGTGATCTACTTCCATAAAGATTTACTGTCTCATAAATACAAAGGGGGTCACCATGAGTCAGAATCAACTCACTGGCAGTGAGTTTTGTTTGTTTGTTTATGTGTGAAAGAAAGAGATGCCTCTCACAGAGGTTTATTCTTACCATCTGGGTTGCTTTCCACTGAAGTCACCACACAACCTCTCAAGTGAATTGCTCCCAGTGGTTCTTCGCCCTAGAGAAGAGAGGGTTGTTCCTCATGTTTCCAATGTACATTATTTGAGTATACCTCACCCAGTTGGTGCAGAAGCCACATAGACTCTCTCTGGTATAGCTCAGGCCCCCAGAATAAATAAGAGCAGAAGGAGATTAAAGGAAGCCTGTTTCAGATCTACAGTCCTTCCAGATCCTCAAGCCTCTACTTTAGTAGGGTCTGGGAGGTAGAATAAGAAGACTCAAATCAATCCAGGCTTCAAAACTGGAGGAATGGCAGGGGAGGTGAAGAAGCTGCTGTCACCACATCCCACTATCCCATTAATGAAATACATGTTTCCAGAGCTCATTGTTCCATCCAACTGATGTAGTAGTATAGTACTTCCAGGAGGAAATCAAAGAGCCGTGCACTGCAAACAGAGGCTGAGAACCAACTTGGACAGAATTATCTCTAGAGAATTGTCTTATTTTCTTAAGGAAAATCCTGCTCCTAAATAACTAAAACTCAAATTGCAGACTTAAGCAATGTTCTCATCCAAGTTGACATGAGAGAGGAATTAATCACTTTTTTGGATATTAAGCTAAGAGTAAATGTTAGACTGATATAGTACCCCCTGAACATATCAGATTGGGGTAAACAAAGAGACAAACAAAAATTGCATTGCACTGACTAAAGAAATGATAGTATAATGATATTTTCTTTCATATTTGATTTTATGTTGACCTCCAAGGTCTAAGATCTCAGCTTATAGCAATGAGAAAGAGTAGAAAAGAGTGGAAGAGGGAAACATAAGAAGTGAGAGAGTGAAGAGAGGAAAAGGATATCAACAGAGCGGAAAGAAGAGAGGGTAGCCCGGCTAATAAATGCAGTGGAGGCTCTTAGTCGAATGAATTTGTTCACCACAGAATCTTACCCCAGCAGGGTCATAGTAGTGTAGGTATGCTGGGTCTTCTCTCAAAACGAACTTCCTCACTTTCCAGTTTTTCCTCCTATGGCCCTGTATCCAGCACCAAAAAGAAAAGGAATGATGAGTTCCTAACATCGCTTTGTATGCATAGTAGCTACATAATATTCTTTCCTGAATTGAGTAAAGAAAGAAAAGATGAAATATAACTCCAGGAGAATCAAATTCCAACCCTATGTATGACGGGAGGCCCTGGGTGGTGCAAATGGTTAACATGCTTGGCTGCTAACTGAAAGGTTTGAGGTTTGAGTCTACCTAGAGGCAACTCCAAATAAAGGCCTGGCAATCTACTTTCCAAAAATCAGCCACTGAAAACCTTGTGGACAGTTCTACTCTGACACACACAGGGTCACCTTGAGTCAGAGTCAACTTGATGTCAACAGGTTACTAACTATATACAACATCCTATGTGAGTCAATGTGAGGAATACCAAGAGGTTTTAAGACATGGCCCTGCTCTTCCAAGAGTTTATAATCTATGTGCAAATATAAATTAGCAAATGCCAAAATAAAATAATTGGTATAGATGAAGGCTTTCAAAGGAATTAAATGAAGAATATGTAACTGTGGGCTTTGACTTCCACGAATCCATGTGGGACACACAGAATTTAAATGTGTGAGAAAGAAGAGTGAAAACAATCAATAACCAAAAAGCAAACTTGGGAATGCAAAAGACAAATCTGGGTATTGATAAAGAAGACCAGTCTGGCTAGAACATGGGATTAATGAAGAGCAGCAGACCAACGTTGGAAAAGTAGTCAGGGATTTAGGAAAAATACCAGGTGGGGGGTGTTGCTGATGGCTTTTTAGTAGCATTTGTTAATTTTAGCTAGGTTAATATGGGCAGTGTTCAAGATTGACTAGATTAAAGAGGAAAGGCAATAAAGTGAAAAGGAGGTCATTAGGGGGTGATTGCAGCAATCCAGGCACAAAACTATCAGGAACTAACCAGAGGTAGCAGCAACAGAAACAGAAAGAAATAGTGTCTGTGACAGACATGATGAAAAAAAGAACCAAACCTGGCCTTTCCCGGCAGCATTCAACCCTGACATTATGTACACTGTGAGTGTTGAAGGCAGGCTTTGTGTCTTGTTTATCTTTGTTTCCCAAGTGCCCTGCACGGTGCCTGGCACCTGGAAGTTGCTTACAATATCTTTGTAATTGCTTACTTTTTTCAATAACCTTATAGTTGTTTTTTTTTTTTTTTTTTTAAAAAAAAGAAAAATGACACAAGCCTGATTCTATAATTTTCCATAGAAAATTCAAATGACTTAAATAACTCCAGAAGACAAAAAGTAAATTATTAGACTAGAAGATATATATTTTTCATTTCTTATCAATATG